TATGTTTGTCCGTGTCAGTTCGCTGCAGCTTATGCCTGAGTAAGTGCCATTGCCTACTGACGTCTGCACTGGAAAAAGTTAGTTTCTTTGTCTTAAACAGTCGCTTGTCGCTCTTATTTCTTTGTCTGTGTGAGAAGAGTGTGTCCGTTCTCTGCCGGTGCCTTTGGTGAGAAAGTGAGTCATTATTTGGATAATTTGACCCATGCATTTTCCTAAGTCTCTTGAATTGAAGTGTAATTAAATTGAAATGTAAAAAACGACCATTATTACAAATCGACAATAAAATGTATGTTTTCGCCATAGTTTAACCATCTGTTTAAAAAGGAAAAAATGCGCATATATTCGCCAGGTTTTTAATACTCTATTGCATTATATTCCCACATTCACTTCTGTTGGGCCTTCCATGCTTATTTTTTTAGAGGCGCAAGGCACACTTATGAGGCCAGGCCTCGACCGCCTGAGGCCACGGAGAGGGCCTCATAAGTCCCGGTAATCTCCGTGCGCCCCACAATCAAAGTTGCTCGCTCAGGCACGCCCTTTTATGGGGCCTAGGGGCCTCATGGGCTTGGCTGCTTGCTTGGCTGATCGCTTGACTAGATGCTTGACTGATCGTTTGGCTGCATGCTTGGCTGATCGCTTGACTAGATGCTTGGCTGATCGCTTGAGTAGAGGATTGAATGATCGCTTGATGAGATGCTTGGCTGACTACTTGCCTAGATGCTTGACTGATTGCTTGAACAGATGCTTGACTGATCGCTTGACTAGATGCTTGGCTGATCGCTTGACTAGATGCTTGGCTGATCGCTTGACTAGATGCTTGGCTGATCGCTTGACTAGATTCTTGTCTGATCTGTTAGTTTGATTCTAGACCGATTGGCTTATTGCTCGGCTGTTTGACTGATTGTTTGGCTGGATGTTGGGCTGCTTGGCTGATCGTTTGGTTAGATGCTTGACTGATCTCTTAGCTTGATTCTAGACAGCTTGGCTTGTTGCTAGGCTGTTTGGCTGATTGTTTGGCAGGATGCTGGCTGCTTGGCTGATCGTTTTTCTAGAAGCTTGGCTTTATGCTAGGCTGCTTTGCTGATCGATTGGCTGAACGCTAGGCTGTTTGACTGGATGCTAGGCTGCTTGGCTGGACGCTAGGCTGCTTGACTGGATGCTAGGCTGCTTGGCTGATCGTTTGGCTGAATGCTAACCTAACCGTGGTCGTATGTTTATCTTGTTTGGCTTGCGAAGTATCTGTTGCAGGTTATCTGCTTTACATGCTGCAGGTTAGCTGCTTTACATGCTGCAGGTTAGCTGCTTTACATGCTGCAGGTTATCTGCTTTACATGCTGCAGGTTATCTGCTTTACATGCTGCAGGTTATCTGCTTTACATGCTGCTGGTTACCTGCTTTACATGCTGCTGGTTACCTGCTTTACATGCTGCAGGTTATCTGCTTTACATTAACGGAAGTTACTTCTTCAAACGAAGAAAATAGAAACAAAAAGATCGGATTTTATTGGCTCAGGATTTATTGTCCTGAAAATCTAACCGGAAAGTTATATACGTATACGTGTTATACGTACGGCGTATAATTTGGTTTGTTTATACGTGTATTTGCCGTTAATTGGCTGCTTTATTGTGTGTGTTTTTTGCTTGAATTTTCATTGTATTGATCTTTTATTGCGCAGTAAACAATCGTGTGCTCCCCATCACTCACTTAGACCACACCATTACTCACTTACACCATACATTACTCACTTACACCATACCATTACTCACTTACACCATACATTACTCATTTAGACCACACACCATTACTCCCTTAGACCACACATGCACCATTACTCTCTTACACCATACATTATTCACTTAGACCACACACCATCACTCACTTAGACCACACCATTACTCACTTACACCATACCATTCCTCACTTAGACTACTTTATTACTCACTTAGGTCACTCCATTACTCACTTAGACTATTTTATCACTCACTTAGACCACTTCATTACACTTAAAATCTGATATGGTTGTCATTATCATTGATTTTCGAATCGATCAAAGTTTGGTGATTGAATTGATTCAAGTTTGGAGATCAAATTGATTCAAGTTTGATGATCAAAGTTTTGACCCATGAAGTAGTACTCAACTTGACTTTATTGCATTATCGTTCTCATGAACAACATTAACAAAATTCCTGGATTCTCATCCTCTCACCAGGCCTATATATTCATAATTTTCAATGCAGGGCACCGCAGGCCTCTTTTCAAACGCATATAAAAACATAAAATTTCCCAAGGCTTTCCTCCCAGCGACAAGTTATCTCAGGAAATTTTTAAATTTGCGTCGAGGCGAATCCCTTGTGCGATCATTCCTCGTTGCAAATACAATGAAGAAGAAATATTGGCCGTTCATTTGCCTGAAGCGACGATATTTCTGCATTTGAGAAGCTCATCGCCCAACTTGGACCTCGCGAAGATATCATCAATATCGCGAAGGCCTTTCTTCCCGTCGGATTTACCTATTATAAATGGCTGGTCCACTTCCAGTCCATCATAATATTTTTACAATATAGAAATGTTTTGGAGTATCATTTAATGTAAAGTATTATTCCAGTGAAAACTTGATTTTATTTCTTTATCACTATAATTTAAAATTAGGGTCGTAAAGAAACTCTTGACAGTTATTCATTTCGTCTATTTGCTTATTCGTTTATTTTTTATCAAGTAATTTCGTCACTGATTGATGCATTTTAATTGACCGATATTTGAATCAATCACGACACTATAAAAAAATGTCTTGATAATTATTGAAAATACATACATTTCTTTCATCTGTCATCTGTTTGCTTCACATAAATGTTATCCTAGGGAACCCGCTCCCAAAGAAATGAGTGTGACTTTGGCATTTTTTCCTTTGATGTGCTATGGTGTGTCATCCTGAATCAGTTTGGTCAGAGAAAAAATGGCATCAGGTGACACGCATGCCATGGCACGAAAAAAAAGCGCATGAAATACAAGCGCAGGAGGAAAATGGGCCAAAAGTAAAAGAACAAGAGGGAAATGCGCTTAAAATAAATTCGTAATCGGGAAATACGCTTAAAATAAAGGGACAAGATGGAAATGCGCCTAAAATAAATTCTTAGTCGGGAAATGCGCCTAAAATAAAAGTACAACAGGGAAATGCGCCTAAAATAAAAGTACAACAGGGAAATGCGCTTAAAATAAAGGGACAGGTGGAAAATGCACATAAAATAAACTTGCGCGAGGGAAATGCGCCTAAAATAAAGGGACAAGAGGGAAATGCGCTTAAAATAAACTCGCACAAGGGAAATGCGCCTAAAAGTAAGGAGCAGGCATTTGTGCGCAGCAGAACGGAATGCCGCCCGCGTGGACGCATCAGTTGATTGCTGCGCGCGCGTCAAAAATGCTTTTATTTTCCGCCTCTGACCAAACGTGAAAATAAAATGTCTTTGGCCGGTGTACGACATTATTGGAGGATTCTTTATTGTCTTTGAACTGAAATGCAGTTTTATTGATGATGTCTAGTTGAGATTACAGTGTTTAGAAGGTAAATATAAGCAGGATTATTTTATTTATCTCATAAGTACAATTTGAAATGTTCTCACTACGAGGCCAATAGCGAATTTCGCCTTACTTCTGGTTTCGACTGACATAGGACAGTTGAAAATTTCTATCTAATTTGAGATTACTTGCTAAGATGTTATTCGAAAACCTGAGTCATGATGCATGCGTGGTATGTGACGCTTGGTATGTGATGCTTGGTATGTGATGCAAGGTATGTGATGCATGGTATGTGATGCATGGTATGTGATGCACGGTATGTGATGCACGGTATGTGATATGCACGGTATGTGATGCACGGTATGTGATGCACGGTATGTGATGCACGATATGTGATGCACGGTATGTGATGCATGGTATGTGATGCACGGTATGTGATGTGTCTTGAGGAAGCGACTAAGCCAAGCTTTATTGGCAATTTAGCCCAACAAGTTCGCTAAGTGGAGCGCCTGCTGTAGTGTGCCACTATAACGAGCAGCAGGCTAATGAGGGAGGCCTCTTAAGCTATATGCTTCAAGCGCTATACTTATCTCACTTCAGTAAAAGCCAGCCTGGAATAATGCACAAATTGTTTTCTTTTTGTTCGGGCATCATAGGAACCAAGAGCCTTGCATGTATCATGTATAAAAACGAGTAATTCACTTAATAATTAACTTCCAGGGTTTATTGATATGCATGTGGAATAGATATGACGTCATTGTCTATATCCATATCATCTAAATAAATAATGTCATCATGAATGTTTGATTTCCCTAAGCTTATTTTGAAGTCCACAAATATGATTTCAATTGAGTCATACATTTATTATCATGTTTTATTTTTAATTTCAGCTCAGGAAATATATTTCGTTTTATTCACTTCTGTGTGAGACCCCAGACACAGAGACTCGAGATATTGAAATACTGGCCGCCAAATCCGTAGACTTTCTGGGTCTGAAAACTAGTTTGGCTTCACATGCGTTATCGCAAAGATGCAAGACTTGAACATTTTACCTGACTCTTTTTATTCAACCAAACACTTAGTAACCTAACAAGCAGCAGATTCCGATGCAACCCATATGACCACCCATCTTGATTCAACCCTTCCAATCGGCCTGTTCCAATGCAACCCTTCCAACAGTTTATCCCAATGCAACCCGTCTAACAAGCATATCCTGACACCACCCTTACAACCAGTCTATCCTGACACCACCCTTACAACCAGCATATCCTGACACCACCCTTACAACCAGCATATCCTGACACCACCCTTACAACCAGCATATCCTGACACCACCCTTGCAACCAGTGTATCTTGATTCAACCCTTCTCAACCGGTCTATCCCTTCTCAACCCTTTTTTGAGTGCAACCCATGCAGCCTCCCATTCAACCGGCCAGCTCAGGCCGCGTCACTGCAGATCGGAGATTGCTTCGCTCGGCGACCCGTGACGGGCGGTGTGTTTACATAACCCCTCCCCTCCCCTCCCTTCTCTTCCCCTCACCTTCTCTTCCCCTCACCTTCTCTTCCCCTCACCTCCCCTCCCCTCACTTTCCCTTCCTTCTCTTTCCCTCACCTTCTCTTCCCCTAACCTTCTCTTCCCCTCACCTCCCCTCCCCTCACTTTCCCTTCCTTCTCTTTCCCTCACCTTCTCTTCCCCTCACCTCCCCTCCCCTCACTTTCCCTCCCCTCTCTTCTCCTCACCTTCTCCCTATTCTTCTTTCCCCTCTCCCTATTCTTTCCCCTCACTTTCTTTCCCATCTGCTTTCCCCTCTCGCCCCACCTTCTCACCCATTCACTGCCTATTCCACCAGCTTCCTACCAACATGCCATCAACCCGCCACCACTCATCACATTCATCACGTCGCCTCCACCCCTCCTACTTCCCTTTATAACTTCCCCTTGTTACCCTCACCCCTTCCCCTTCTCTCTCCCTCCCCCTCTCATCTCTATCGCTCGGACTCCGGAAGGGGAATTTTAGAAGCCCTCGGGGCGGCCGTTGTCTTATTCCCTCTAATATTGATATATCATTCATATATAATATCATTAATGGTATCTCATTCCGTACAATATTGATATCCTGTATATTATGTATTTAAATTAACTTTGTAATCATATTTATTAATATTATTTATAATCTAGCGGACATTATAGATTTCGTTTACATTTCGTTTGTATTCCATTTGATTTCATTCACAATTTGTAAAAAAAAAATTTTTGTCAGTAAAATTGTATTTGTCCAATGGATTTTTTACCCTAAATAACAATGTACTTTTTTACCTTAAATGGGTCATTCTGACCCAGCTTGATCCGTCAACAGAGCGTATCAGTGCTACGTCCGCTGCTGAGGGCAAGAAAGTATGTCACTATTTAGACAGTAGGACTCGTTTATTTCTTTGAGTGAATCATGAGATATTCTAACCTCCATTGACTCAGTGTTTCTAGAATAAAAGATGAATCCGTTAATGAAAGATGAGGTCAAAAGTTCAAGCAATGCAAGAAAATCACAGGACCTATTGTAGCCTCGGCCATCACTGGATCTATTGTAGCCTTTGCTGCAGTGACATTTAGTCAATCATATTTATCATATTTATTATAATATATTATCATATTTACTATGATATTATCTATCATATTTCGAAAAGGCAGGTTTGGCCCCGAGGCGTTGTTGTTAATACTACTCAAAACGATCCAAATATTCTTCATGCTTTTGTTTCTTCTATAGAATATATATTTAAGCAAATATATCTCATATACTTTTTTCATTACAAATCTTGACGTGCGTTGTCAGCAAAAATGCTACGATGAAATTTAAATTTCTTAAGAATTTGATGTGTTTATGCTTGATTTATTTTACTCGTTCATCGAAGGCAGTATAAATATTTTTTAGACTTTGAGAGTTCGTGAAGGAAAACTTTTTCTCGGAAACCCTGCTTCTTCATGCCGGCGTGGAAAATATGTACAATAATTTTAAGTTATAAAAAACATTGTAAAGAGTTCTGTATATTATACTGCATTATTAAAAACGTCTACTTATAAAGATATAAAATATAAAGATAAGCATATTATACTGCATTATTAAAACAATCCACCTATAAAGATATAAAATATAAAGATAAGCGTATTATACTGCATTATTAGAACAATCCACTTATTAAGATATAAAATATAAAGATAAGCACATTATACTGCATTATTAAAACAAGCCACTTAATGATGCATGGTGTGGCTTGAGATAATAATATATAATATATCAAGATAATATTTTCAACATTTGTTCATTACAGTTCGCACAGGCACGGAGGTGACACTGAGAGGTCGGGAGTACATCGGCTGGGAGACGGAGGCTGGGCGTGCAGAGCTGCTGGCTGCGCACGCAGACAAACTTATATTGTCCTTCAAGACAAGATTTCCTGCGGGTCTGCTCTTCTTCACGGGTCAGTGCAGAGATTTCCTGCGGGTCTGCTCTTCTTCACGGGTCAGTGCAGAGATTTCATGCGGGTCTGCTCTTCTTCACGGGTCGGTGCAGAGATTTCCTGCGGTTCTGCTCTTCTTCACGGGTCAGTGCAGAGATTTCATGCGGGTCTGCTCTTCTTCACGGGTCAGTGCAGAGATTTCCTGCGGGTCTGCTCTTCTTCACGGGTCAGTGCAGAGATTTAAAGATTTATAGGTGATGTTGTTAAGTGTTTTTAGCGTATTTTTAATCTAATTCTATAAGAATTATTTCTTTGCCCTGCCTTCTTCACAGGTAAGTGCAGATTTAAAGATTAATCGGTGATGATGAGTGTTTTTGTCGACGTATTTTTATTCTAATTTGATAAGAATGCCTTCTTTGCCTACCCTTCATCACGGGTTAGTGCATAGATTTAAAAATTAACAAGAACTTTAAGTGTTTTGGAATCGTTTTTTAACCTTAATACATACAATTATATTGTTTACCCGATCAACACGGGGGTACAGAAATTCAAAGATTTACGGGTGACGTACTGGTCTGAGGATCGTATTTTGTCTAATTGATACGAATGCGTTTATTGCGCAATCTAATTTCTCAGTGAGGAGAAAGCTGTGAAGATTTCTTAATAATTTGTGCCTCAATAAATTTTGCGGAGAGGGTTTTAAAAAATTAGTGTTTACAATATTTATGCGGTTATGACACTTTAACGTTGCGGGAGGTATCAGATTTTGTTCGTTACGTTGACAAATTTCCGGTTCAAATAGATACATATAAACAATTTACGGAAGTAGTTCAGCCTTAGTTTATTTCAACGAACCAATAACCATGTTAAATCAAACAGAAATGCGAAGACTAAGAGAACATTTTCTCGTATTAAAACTTTCGTTTAACTTACAAACGTTTGGTGACTAAATTCTGCAAAAAAACTGTTATTATGCGCGAATAAGAGTTTTAATCAATTTGTGCAGTGCAATGAACATTATTATTATTATGAAAATATTAGCATATTTTCGGAGAACTCAGCAACGGCCGTAACACCTCTCCATTCGAGACCTTCTCACTGAGCAAAAAACTTTTAAACAACGTTAAATTGATGCAAATTTAACGTCACAATGTTTAATCGACGTAAATTCAACGTCGCAACTTTTATTCGACGTAAATTCAACATCACAACGTTTATTCGACGTAAATTCAACGTCACGACGTTTATTCGACGCAAATTCAACGTCAAAACGTTTAATCGACGTAAACTTAACGTCACAACGTTTAAACAATGTTGGTTCAACGTCAGATGCCTGGAGGGTTTTTAAGTTATTTTAAAGTTAGATAAACATTTGAAAATTAGAATATATATCAGGAAAATTAGACTAATTAAAAAAATTCCACGGTGGGATCTGACGACAGAGTATTAGAGACGAGTCTTAATGAGATGCTCCTCATTAGCCTCACCGAATCCCCAAGCTCTGATCATCTCGCTTCCTTGCCTCGGTCTCTCATTTACTTCCCTGCTAACTGCACTCCGAGAAATCAGCGAAACAAAGTCTAAATTACGAGTCACTTTTTACCCTTGCGTGGGTTATCCTGATACATTTTTGCCCGGAAAAGGCGTATCAGTGCTACGTCCGTTCTTCACTTTTATTGATTGAGTAAGAATGTATGTCACTTTTTGAACACTATTACCCATTCATTTTTTTCGTGTGGAGTAGAACTTGTTCATTTACAATCCACGCAAAACAATTTTTTTTTCGACTGAAACTATAACCACAATAATTTAGTATTACTATCGAAAAAATGAAATTTCGCTACGGATAAGCTTGCTTTAGATATTTGTAAAGATTATGGCGACTTGTTCATGGTGAGCGCGATTATGCACACAATAGGACCTGTTTATTGTGTGTTAAATTCGGTCTGCACTGACCTAGTCTTGACTGCTACCCAATTGACTGAGCTTCAGTTTCTGCATAATTGTCTGGGTTTCAACTTTTAACTAATTGGCTTACATTCATTTTTACCTAATTGACTGAGCTTCAATTTTCAGCTGATTGACTGAGCTTCAATTTTTACCTAATTAACTGAGCTTCAATTTTTAGCTAATTGACTGAGCTTCAATTTTTACCTAATTGACTGAGCTTCAATTTGGACCTAATTGACTGAGCTTCAATTTGTACCTGGTTGACTGAGCTTATATAAACTTATATAAGCTAATTGACTGAGCTTCAATTTTTAGCTAATTGACTGAGCTTCAATTTTTACCTAATTGACTGAGCTTCAATTCGTACCTAATTGACTGAGCTTCAATTTTTAGCTAATTGACTGAGCTTCAATTTTTACGTAATTGACTGAGCTTCAATTTGTACCTAATTGACTGAGCTTCAATTTTTACTTAATTGACTGATCTTCAATGTGTACCTAATTGACTGAGCTTCAGTTTTTGCCTAATTGACTGAGCTTCAATTTGTACCTAATTGACTGAGCTTCAATTTGTTCCTAATTGGCTAAGCTCCAAATTGTTCCTTATTGACTGAGCTTCAATGTGTACCTAATTAGCTTCAATTCAATTCAACAGCTTCAATTTGTACCTAATTGACTGAGCTTCAGTTTGTACCTAACTGACTGAGCTTCAATTTTTCCTAATGACTCAGCTTCAATTTGTACCTAATTGACTCAGCTTCAATTTTTACCTAATTGACTCAGCTTCAATTTTTACCTAATTGACTGAGCTTCAATTTTTACCTAATTGACTGAGCTTCAATTTTTACCTAATTGACTGAGCTTCAAATGTTAAGAAATAGACTGAGATTTTCATCATTGGAACTCTAAGACGAAGGTTAGCTTGCGAGAGACCTGATACTGCAGTACAGGAAAAGACGCTTGATTACAGCAAAGCACACTGAATTTAGCAATAATATTGCACTCTCGGCTAAGATTTTTTGACATTTAAAATAAGCATTTTCGACATTGAAAATAAAATTGTGTGACACTGACGCCATTGTACTGAAAGATCCTAGCTTGTATCCTTCAATGTGAACGGTCAGATTTAGTTGAATTACTGCCCTGATCTTCAGTCGAAAGTTTTTCAATTGAAGCTCCTCCGTTAACGTATATTGCATGATAGATGAACCTACCTCATTATAATTATATTATATAATTTTATATTGTATTTGAATTATATTACTAATCGTATCAAAGCGCCAGTACAAATCACCACATGTACATTTTAGCAGTGCCCTCTCTTCTTCCAAGATGAATTAAACCCAAGGCAACACCTGAAAATTGTATAAGATTTTTATTTATTTTAGTTATATTTTACCAGTGATTCACTATGTAAATATCACCTTGGCATAACTACGCGCACGTGGCTGCGCCCGCGCCCTTTTAGTTATTTTTGCATGCAACAGATATTTTTAAGTATAGTAATATTTTCGAGCATAGACAAATTTCCATGTGTACAAATATTTCCATAGGTGCATAAAAATACTAAAAATTTGAAGTTAGGTAATCTTATGAAAATTTTCCTGTAATAAAAAAAATCTATGTCAATATTACTACGGCAAAGACAACGCCACGTAAGATCTTTTATGTATAATATATACCTATACGAACGAATATTACCATTTTTGTAAATACTACCAAGCATACAAATAATATTATAGATACAAATATCACGATCTACGCAGGTGACAACAAGGACATACAAATGTGGGTCCTCGTATACAAATATACAAAATGTTTGTAAATATTATCATGTATTCAAATATTATAATTTTTTTACCGCGTATTCAAATGATATTATACTTTTTTACCACATATTAAAATAATATTATAATTTATTACCACATATTCAAATAATATTATAATATCTTACCACGTATTCAAATGATATTATCGTTTATTAGCACGTATTCAAATAATATTATAGATAGAAATATGTACGCAGGTGACGGCAAGGACTACGTGAACGTAGCGCTACGTGAGGGCGCTGTGCACGTGACGCTGGACATGGGCGGGGACCCCATCGAGGTGATCATCGGGCCTGACAAGACGCGCTTTGATGACAACCGCTGGCACGTACTGCGCTTAGAGCGTCGTGTCAAGGAGGTGTGTTGTGTGTACTTTATATGTGTTATTTGTGTGCCCACACACTTCTGCTTTGTATCATCCTTGTATGTTTTGTGTTATTTGTGTGCCCGCACACTTCTGCTTTGTATCATCCTTGTATGTTTTGTTATTTGTGTGCCAATACACTTTTGCTTAGTATAATCCTTATATATTTTGTGTTATTTGTGTGCCCAAACACTTCTCCTTTGTATCATTTGTATGCTAATACTTGTGAGGTCATTTTGTATAATTTGTATGCTCATACCTGTGAGGTCATTTTGTTTAATTTGTATGCTGTACCATTCTTATGTATATTTGCTTTTGCATTGTTTGTTTTGTATGTTCAATTATTCCTACCATTCTGTTTAGTGTCACTTTTTGACAAAAAAAGCGATTTCAGAGTAATAATTAAAAAAAGCTTATACAATATCATATTAGTATATACTATATTATTTATTATAGTATACTATATTATATATATTTATGTATAAACATGAATTTCGTTCGACTCGTTGAAAAAATATAATAAATACAAAAAATAAAGTATGCTCCGGTCTTCAATCAAACTTGCATAAATGAAGAACGTCAGCCTGATTATGCCAATATTATATTATAGTAGTATATTATTATAGACTACATTATAGTATACTGAAATGCTGTCAATTACATTATTATGAACACCATTACAAATTACACTATTATTATTTCATTAATCGATATGAAATGAAGAACCATCGCGCAAGAGGTGAAGAATAAAAGCAAAGATTTCGTTTGCTAATGAGAATGTTGAAAACTACATATTTAATAGCAAATACAAATGTCAAAATTTAGAAGCAAATCTTGCAAGTTAAAAATAATTTGGTATAAAAATAGTCAAATGTAGTTATTATTAGAGTAATCGTGTTAGATACGACAACTTGAAATGCTAGGATCGTCCCTGCCGCTTTTAGCAGTATTGGATTTTTTCTAAAATGAATTCTAAATATACAGTGAAATTCCGGTGTCTTCGAAATGAAATTGTTTCCTGATCAGTTGTTGGAGCCTAGCGCGTGTAAAATGAAAGAAAATGCAGTTTTGAAGCTCGTGTGAGCTGGAAAAAACTTCGGTTGTAAAGCTTGTTTTTCCGCTCAGAAATTGATTGTTATGTCGTAATCTTCTTTTGATGTGACTTGACAATCACTTCTTGATGAGATTTGATTGTGCGATCAGTGAGATTGTCTCCGCTTCAATTATAGGACGCAAGGATATTGTTTTAAGAGGGTCATTGTACGGGAAAGGATATTGTTTTCTAATGATTTTTTGTTCGTAAGGTTACGTGTGTAAAACATATATTGTGCTGGGAGGGACACTGTGTTTGAAAAGACATTGTGCTGGCATGGATATTGTTTTGAGAGATGTTTTCGGGATGGAAATTGTTTTAGAAGTAATATTGTTTTAGGGTGGTACCGTATACTGTTTGGATGGATATTGTTTCGAAAGGGATATTGGCCTGGGAGGGACACTGTGCTTGAGAGGATATTGTGCTGGCATGGATATTGTTTTGACTTTTGAGTGCGAGATTTTTTGAGATGGATATTGTTTTAGGGTATATTGTTTGGATGGATATTGTTTTGAGAGGAATATTGTGCTGGGAGGGACACTGTGCTGGAAAGGATAATGGGCTGATATGGATATTGTTTTGAGAGAAAGATTTATTGGGATGGATATTGTTTTAGAAGTAATATTTTTTGGGAGGGATAGTATGCTGGGAAGGATAGTGTACTTGAGAGGATATTGTGCTCATAGAACACATTGCTTGAGAAGATATTGTGCTGGTGCCGGTGAGTGTGCCGGTAGGTGTTGTGCAGCACAAACAGCTTCTTATCTGCCCAAGCTGCTCAAATGTTTCAGGACGGTCGCGTTTACTGCCAGACTCTTCCTCGAAGATGTCATCTCGCCGCCGCTTTCTGAATATTTCCTCCACGTAATTACCCAAGTTTGGGCTTTTTATTTTCACGCGTTCAAGAAAAAAAATTTTCACGAGCTTATTCTGCCTTTTTGAAATCATGTTGATTTTTTACGATAAAGGTCAATGATCAATTCGTACAGTGCACGTTTTATCATTCCATGATAAATATATAATGTTAGGCAAAAACAATTGTGACACAACAAGATAAACTATTTTTACATTCCACGATAAATGAATGAAATTGTAGATATGAATATTCATTATTCAAATAATTAGATTCATTATTAATAGATCTTCAGATGCAGAATAAATTACGCGAGAAACGACAGTTTCTATGTTCCCTGCCTGGCAACAACTGCAACTTTTTCTAACAATTCATCGGCCATGAAGTCCAATCCTAAACAAAAGTTGAATCATTTCTATATCGAACATTATGGACATCTGCAAAATTCCTGCACAAAATTTAGGCATTGAGTTACATTTATGAATCAGTGCCTTAAATTTCTGCATATTTTTCCACCCCGAAGAGCAACGTAAAACTTCAATATTTCACCGCCCAAGGAACATCACAAGGCATAATTAAGAAGCCTCAAGTGGCCTCGCAATGCCTCTTGCAATTTGCAGCGGAGTGAAGAGAATAAGTGGAGATCTGTGCTTCATAAAGTGAAGAGAATAAGTGAAGATCTGTGCTTCATAAAGTGAAGAGAATAAGTGGAGATCTGTGCTTCATAAAGTGAAGAGAATAAGTGAAGATCTGTGCTTCATAAAGTGAAGAGAATAAGTGGAGATCTGTGCTTCATAAAGTGAAGAGAATAAGTGAAGATCTGTGCTTCATAAAGTGAAGAGAATAAGTG